CAAGTGTGTGTAACATTTAGACATCAAGACTTTCATTACAGAGCACTTCCCTGATTTTGGACACCTGATATAGAAGCAAAACAGCGCAGCTGAAGAGGTACAAACCTTCCTGACATTTAGAGGTAAAAATACTTAAATCTTAGACTGTTGATGTTCTGCATTAAAGGACCCCGATCATCACACCCACAGCTTCAGCTATGGTCTGCTAGTCTTATGGTTAACTACCCAGTTAATGCAGAGAGAGAAATTAAGAGGCTGGTTTGGGGTTTTCTTTAAGGTTAATCACCCTGGAAAAGCCTGAGAGGTAAAATGTAAAGAAGTAGCTCTGTTAGAGAAAATGTAATAGTTTAAGCCGCTTATCTTTCAAGAATAAAAACTAATTCAAATGACATTTAGCAAGTGACAGAAGTAGTTAGAAAACCTGATGCTCCAGCTGCTAAAAACTCAATTGCCAAGACAAGATTTTAATGTGCCTGAATCAAAGAACTATTTCATCCAACAATGCCCATAAATCTCTGTGTTACCAGGACAGCCACGGGGGATCAGAACAACCTGCTGCTGAGGGCAACACCTGACCAGAAGGTGCAGTAGCTAAAGTTTCAGTTTTGCCCTCACCACAGGCCTTTGTGCTACCAAAACTCCCTTTCCTGGGCTGCAAATTGGTATCCTCCTCTTGTTACACTTGAAGTTACAAGGAAAAAACATGTTACTGCTGCTCTATAAGTGTGTCCTCATAAATACCCACAGCTCCAAGTTCTCTAGGGCAGCCCCAGTGATTAACCAGATCATTACTGGTTTGGTCCCCAGAGCTCATCACTGACCTTCCCAACAGCCTGGTGTAACAGCAGAATTACTCATGGAGAAAAGAAAGAGTCGATTGCTTAACACTCACTCCATACAATAGTCTTAGGACCTGAAATACAAGTTTTCACAGTGCTGCTGTAGCCTTCACAAACAGCAAAGGCCCTGATTTCTTCCTGTTCCAGCCAGGGAAACCAGGAAGAGCAGGGTGGTATCACTTGTTTTGGGAAGCCAACCAGAATGGTTCTTGGAATAAAGGTTTTCTGCAAGACTGGGAATTGAAGTGCACGAGCTCGTTTAACACCGAGCTCTCGAGTACAGGCACTGCTTCACTCACTGCAGAGAGCACACAAATCACACACAGGATCTTTGTTCTGCTGGGACCAGAGATTCCAAGCTGGAACTAAACAATAATTTTATGCCACTGAGCTGTTGGTAATATTTCCCTGTAGGTGCTTCTAAGAATTTTTGGTTGTAAAAGGTATCTTATTTTAAGCATTTCTGATTTTGGATACCGCTTAAAAACCTGACACATGTGGTAGTTTTAATTCAGAGTATCTGCCTGCTTGAAGCTGTTCCCTAATAGCAGACAGACACTGAGGAATCTTTGCATTTGGGAGCTTCCAGTGGTTTATTTTCAGGATAAAAGCTGCCCTGGCTGCTGCTGGATCCACTGAACACAGCAGAGTCCCACTACTACACTGAAAAGCACTGTATTAAGTGAAGCTAACACTGACATTATGGGCAACAATGCCTGACAATCTTAAGGGAAATATAGTTTTAATTATTCCTTCAAATAAACAGAAAGCCTGCAGTACCTCAAATATGAAAAAAGCTACGGCCAGGTCACTAAACTGTGAGCTCAGCAGCGAGGCCAAGTGACAGCAGAGACAATAACTGAGCTACTCCAAAATGATTAGACATAACTGAACACACCAGCACCACAATTAAACAGCAAAAACAGGGGGGATGTTCACTGGCACCTGGGGCCACTGATAAGCACAGCATAGTCAGTGTAATAGGTAGTTTAATTAGGTTATACATCAAAATAAAAACTGATAGTCAGGGACAGAAATCCAGCCCCTTCCTGAAAACCACAACATGTGCAGCTGAGGGCAAGCAGTGAAGGGCTTCAGATTAGCAAACAGCTTTCCTCTGCAAGTCAGGAATTTTGATGCTCATTTTCACACTGTTTAAGCCCTCATTAAAAGAGACCTTATTTAATTCTGGGTTAGAACTGACACAGTGACACTCCAGCCTACAAGGACACACTGCTTCAAACTCTGGCCTGATAAATATTGATAACACTGCAGAAGTTTACAATCCAGTAGCTTCTACAGTCATTATCCAAGTACAGTGGAGCAGAAGCATTAACAAGCAGAGAAAAGTCTGTCCTAGTAATAGTTTTGACCACTCTTAAGACAGTCCTATCCAGAATTTACACTACAGACCTGTAAGCATGTGCATCCTTGGTTTCTTTGGCACAGAACCTTCACATACTCTCCAAAAGCATAATTCACAACACAGTATTTTTATTACAGCAGCTTTTGCAGTTACTTTTTATCTACGTTGCTCTCACCAAGAGGCTTTTACTACGACAAATTTGCTAGCAGAACCAGAAGAGTCATTCTGTGCTGTTAAAACAAACAAGAAACACACCCACCACGCACTAAAATCCAGATAAATTTTGGCCTTTCTATTAGAGATATCACAGTTTTGTTAGGGTTAGAAGGGACCTCGGAGATCTTCCAGACCAAGGCAGGGTCACCTGGAGCAGGTGAGACAGGAACTCATCCAGGTGGGTCTGGAATGTCTCCAGAGAGGGAGACTCCACACCCTCCCTGGGCAGCTGTTCCAGTGCTCTGACATCCTCAGCGTAATGAAGTTCTTCCTCACGTTGAGGCAGAACTTGTTGTCTTTTAATTTATGGCCATTGCTCCTCGTCCTGTCACTAAAAAGACTGTGGCACCATCCCCTGACACCCCTGGGAGATATTTGTAGGGGTTGATGGGATCCCCTCTTACTGAGGCTAATAAATAATAATAAAATAAAAACCCCAGCAGACTATCAGCTCTAGCACACGTTACTGGAAGCACGGAGGGCACAACGCTTCACTCCCGCAGCCGTTGCTGCTGCACCTGCCATGAGGGCGACCCTGACAGCACCATCCCCGGTAGCCCCGGGACCATCCCCGCGCCCCGTCCCGCGGGGCAGCCCCGCCGTGCCCGCCACGACACCGCCGGACACGGCCCGCGGGGCGCTCCCTCTGCCCTCGCACCTCCACAGGTGGAGCTCCGGGCGCTGCCTCCCCGTGCAGGCGGCCCCGGCCCGGCCCGGCCCGGCCCGCCGCGGGGAACCCCCCGCGCCCCGCCCGGCGCTCTCACCTCGCTGGCTGGGCCGCCCCGCCGCGCCGTCCGCGGGGCTGCCGCGCCTCGCCTTGTGCGCGGCGGGCTCGCCGTGGTGCCGGTGGTGGTGGCGGCGCTCGGCGGGCGGCGGGAGGCTGAGCGGGGAGAACGTGAAGAGCCCCGCGGCGGGCAGGGCGGGCGGGGGCAGCGGCTCCGCCGGGCCGGGCCCGGCCAGCAGCGCCGCGCTCGGGCGGGCCCGCTTGGCGGCGGAAGGCTCCCCCGGGGCGGCCCGCCGGCGGCGGGGCCCGCGGGGCCGGGCGGGCCGGTCGGCTGAGGGCGGTGGCGGCGGCTCCTCCGCGGCCCGCGGCACCGCGGCGACCTGCGCGGCCATTTCAGGGGCTCCCTCACACACATTTAAATGGCCCGAGCGCCGGGGCGCCGCCGCGCACGCGCGGCCCGCGGGGCACCCTGGGACCAGTAGTTCGTTACCGGCGGGGGGGGGAGCGCGGGGAGGGGGGTCACGTGAGCCCGGGGCGGGGCGGGGCGGGGCGGCTCGCGCGGGAAAGCGCTGAGGGAGCGCTGGAAGGAGGGGGGGTAAAGCGGGGGATAAAGTTTATTTTAACGGTGTTTCTCGCCCGTTGCGGCGTTAAATCCGTTAAAACGGCGGCCGCCGTTAATGGTAGGGGGCGGGAGGGAAGGCTGGCGGAGCTTTGAGAGCGAGGGAGGACATCCCTGCCCGGGAATGAAATCGGTGAATGGCAGAACTGCAGATTCCCAGAGTGGTTCGCGTTGGAAGGGACATCAAATCTCGTCTCTTTCCGACCCCCTGCCATGGGAAGAGACACTTTCCACTAAAGCAGTTTCTGCTGTTGAGGAAATCCATGAAAAATGAAAAATAAGGCAGTGCTGACTATTCCTCCAGCAAAAGTAGCTTTAAGTCAGCTCGAGTTTTCTACTCCAGCAGTGGTCAGCACATTCCTCTTGGCCGAATTCCACATATCCCAAGTTTGTTTCTGTCTTTACAGGAAAACAATCCTATAAAAACAGTTTCCAGCATCTTTATCCCTCCCCGCTGAGGATATAAACAGCAGCGGAATCTGGTGAGGAATCTCATCGACCCAGTTCCCGCCTGAAATTCTGTGGTGGAGACTCAAATCCTTTAAAAAAGGATTGTGGTTTTTTTAGAAAATAAAAATAATATTTTGCTTGCTGTGGTTGGTGTTTTGGGATTTTTTTTTTTTCAGGATCAATTACACTTGTGTAATTTATATGGGATCAATCAGTAGTCTTATTGACCCAAATCCAGACAAATTCTCTGAGGTGCTCAGATGAAAAAAAAAAAGAAGAAGAAAAGAAATAAAAAAAGCTTAAATTATTTCTGAAATCTAGGATGCTAATACCCTTTTAGTCCACATTATGTAAACATTTAAGTGTCTTTGGTTACAGTAGACCTACAATGTGATATTAAAGAGATGCTGTGCCTGCACCAATCGGGGTCTTGATCCACTTCACTCTGCTCCGTTGGCCTTCCGGATCATTCCACTGGGTCTTCACTGGGTCCTATCCCCAGTTTACACTCAAATCCATCATTTTGAAGTGATCCCATTCCAAAACCCAACAAAAACATGTCCCTCCTTAGGATAAAATATCTATTCCCAGGTTTACTTTCCATCCTGTTGTAAATTAACTGAAAGCTGCTGGTCCTTTTTATGACTCTTCTTTACTTTAAATCTTCAGCTGAAGAGTGTGCAAGTAGTGCCTGAGCTGCCAGTACCTGTGCGACAACTTCTGATGTGTTTATTTTCTTGGAAACCTCACTGGGATGAGCATTCCAGGTGCATCAGGAGGACTTCACAAATCTGCAACACCAAGTCTATAAAATGCATTTAAATATTCCATGTTGGGGGTGGATTTCTTGGGCCTTTAGGTTTTGAAAATCGATTTGCAAAGCCTAGGAAGAAATTATATCTTTTTAATACAATATATTCCACATGTTATAGATAATAACTTGTAATTTCAGTTCTTTCCCAAACTTTAGGATACAGTAGAAAAGCAGCATCCTGTAGTTGTGAATAAAGTTGTAAATATATAAAAACATTATTTGTAATGTTTGTAATTCATTAGTGTTCTGCCTGGCATTTAGATTGTCAAAACCCAGGTTCTTCCTATCAAAACACAAAAAGGAAAACATACCAAAGTTAAGGAAAGACCTCAGAGGGTTTGTTGGGGCAGGCTCTGATGATTTTGTCCATGAAGATGGGCTGCAGATGCCTAGAAATAAAAAATGAGACTGGAGCAGAGGGTCTCTGTTCCCGAAGAGCTGAACTCATAGAATGGTGGAATTATTAAGGGTTATTTGTCCCCACGGTACCCAAAGGGCACCAGAGTGTCCAAAATAGCAGATATGGAGGGACTTTCACATTGGAAAAGTCCTTCCCATTTCCATCCCACATATTTTAATACCTGTTGAAATCCATTGGGAAGATGCACATTAGCCTTAAAGACTTACTTTTTCTCACATTTTTCAGTATTTTCATGCTCTGTGGAAAAAAAAAAAATAGAAAAAGGCTTGTTGGAAAAAAATGTAGGAAGCAGCAGATCAGGCAGTGTGATAAAGGGAATTCATGGATAAATGTACATGTATAAATACACTGATAAATAGACATGTATAAATAAATCTGCTACTGTGATAAAGGCAATTCACTGGTAAATGTACATGTATTATCTCATAAAAAGCATCGTGTCCTGCAGCCGAGGCAGAAAAGCAGACTCGTGCCATTCCCTCTGTCCCTGCTTTTTTCCTTGTCACCCCAAATGCCTCCAGTTGGTATTTTCCTTGCTCTTTTCCTCAAACGCTTTTCTGCTCAACCCCAACCTCCCAAAACACAAGCCCATGAGGGTGATTAACAGGAGTCACAAGAAGAGGATCCTTATAGGACACACTCAGACCCCACTGGAGCAGCTTTCTCCAAGAGGAACTGGCACTCCAGGTGGGCTGGAGTTCCAAGGCATAACCACTGGCACCCTCTCCATTTTCAACACCTTTTCTTCTGTTTCCTCTACCTTGCTCCTCCTGAAGCATTTCAGAGCCTCTTTGGACGAGGTTTCAAAATCCGTGTTCTCCAAACCCGCAGGGCTCGAGGAATTTCTCGCAGCAGGCTGCAGACCTGGGAATACACATCATACATATCTTCTCAGTGGTCACTCACAAATCCTCATGCTTTTTCCTAAGTGCTTTGTTGTTGTTTTTCACTTCCTCCAAGGCACCACATCTGGAAATTTCCAGCAAGTCCCCTGGTTGCGTTTATTTTCTTTGTATCTGCTGAACTCCTGCAGTGAGGGCCTGAAGCGCAGCCTGGTAATGCTTTGAACAAGCGGGCCACGATCTCAGCTATCCACAGGTTTAGGTGCGAACATAAAACCTCAGTTACACCCTGAGAAAAGAGCTCAAAAAGAGCTCAAGAAGAGCTCAGCACTCACTTGCTGCCTCAGCGAGAACAAACGACTCCGGGGTTCTTTCAGGAAGCGGGGGAGGAGAGTCAGAGCGATCCCAGGTTGTCTCTGAGAAAGCAAAGATAAAAGAGCAGGCTACCTAGCTTGAAATATAAATATATATATTTTATAACGGACCAGAATATCTCAGTTGTCTCAGAGAAAACACACAACATGCAGCAAAAGAGGAGGCTGCAAGGAACACCCTCATGTTCCTTGGTGAGGGTGAGGCAGGAGCCAGTTAGGAAATATAAAACTGCCAGTTTGTTTGCAGAGCTGTTTAGTTCTGGTTAGAAGTATTTAGTTGCAGAACTATTTAGCAACACAAAATTTCCATCAGACTAAGCACAGGTCCTAATGGCATTCAATAAGCAAAGCAGCTTCAGTAAAAAGCAGATCTTCATTCTAAAGATTATCCTGGTGTTAAACTTATACCTGTCCGGGGGCTCCGAAGCTTCACACTCTGGAAACAAAAAAAAACAACAAGGCAGGTGTTTAAAATTCCCACAAACCAAATGTCGTCCTCTTGCACACAAGGAAGCCAGAGAAGAGGAGGAAAGGATGTGATGTGCAAACACCCTCCCACACACACCTCCTTGCTCGTGGGATGGAAGACAGACTTGTGCCTTATCCTTTCACTTCCCAGAGCTGTCACTCAGCTATGGGATGATCAAGACATGCCTACATTTTGTTCAGCTCCAGCTTATTCCACAGGGCTGTGTGAACCTCAGTGGACCACCAACCTCGTGCCTTAATTATCCTCCTCTAAACGAGGGACAATGTGTTTATTGCCTTGTATGGGACTTAAGACCCACAAAAATAATGTTTGGAGTAAAGTGGATGTTGATGAGGAGGAGCCTGGCTGAGGCCACTTCTTCCTTCCTGTCCTGAGCCCTGAAATCCCTGGAAGTGTTCAAGGACAGGTTGGACAGGGCTTGGAGCAACTTGGTGTAGTGGAAGGTGTCTTTGCCCATGGCAGGGGATGGGATGAGATGGGCTTTAAGATCCCTTCCCACCCAAACCATTCTGGGATTCTGTGACTCTTTGAAATAATTTGTGGAAAGTACAAAGTACCAAAACTGGGGTCTTCCTCACAGAAGGAAACATGATGAGGAAAATGGCATAGGGATGGTGCTGGAGAAGAGATAAAAAGCCACTTACTTACCTTGCATGTTCTCAGCCTCCCAAAGTCACGAAGCTCCTCTGAGTGAGTCTCACCACTCCACTCCCGAGAGGTTCCGATATTTGGATTTCTCTCTGGGAGCTGAAAATCAGAAGTGGCCAGAGGAAATTGTCCTAGAAGCAATTGAACACAGGAGGGGTCATTTCCCATCCCGGGCAGCTGGAGCACAGCCACTGCCTGATGCTGTGGGACAACAAATCTTGGATGGTCCCTCAGTGCTCCATGTTGAAGATTGTTGGATGCACTTACCCGGTTCATTGGCCACAATAAAGGACTCGGGGGTGCGCTGGGGCAGGGGTGGGGGATCATCATCATCATCTGGCTGTGGCAGGGTGGGTAATTGGAAAGACACGGACAGGTTACCTGCACGGAGTGACATGGGCAGGTTACCTGCATGGCATGACACTGCTCCTGCCCTGCCACACGGTTAAACACCTCTAATCTGTGGTTCAAAATCCAGAGAGTTCTCAGCCCCAATTGACCAGCCACGTGGCCTCAGGGACAGACCTCCAGCAGAGCTGGCAGCAGAGTTCCCACTGGACTGGGCAAGATGATGAGCACAGTCCTGAGGAGTAGCTACAGCCCTGCCTGGACACCAAAAACCCACACCATCTGCTCCCTCCAGCAATCCAGAGGGATCCAGCCCCATGTGTCCCAGCCCTGCAGCACTTACCTGCTGGGGACATCCTCTCCTCGTCCAGGGGAGCATGGTGGGACCGTGGGGAGCTGGCTGTGGTGGGCTGCAGCGGGGCACTGGCAGCACAAGAAGGAAGAAGCTCGTCCTGCCCCTCCACAAAGCACTTGGAAAACACTGGGGACATGGGGTCATCTGGGGAGAGTGATGAGAAGTAGGGATCTTCTGCTGAGCAGAGATGAGGGTAAGGGCATTGCCCGTGGTTCCTGTGGCTTGGGGGGCCATCTGCTTCCCGTCTGGAGGGGTTCAGGTCCACAGGGGAAAATCCATCCTGGAAGCTGGAGTGACCAGCATTTGGCCACTGTGAATTCCAAACAGGCCTGGCACCCCTTCCGTCCCATTCCCAGTCTTCTCCCCGCTGCCCCAGCACTGGAGGGTTGGATGCAGTCCATGTCAGAGGTGCTCTGCCCCCAGGCCCCCTCCCTGCTGCTCCCTTGGGCTCCAGGTCCAGCTCCCAGCTGCGGCGTTTCCGAGGGGCGTCCCCAGCCCCCCATCGCTCGGCGGCAGCCGCCTTCCTGCAGCTGATGAAGTTCAGAGCACCGAAGGAGAAGGCCTGTCTGATGGGGGACACTGCACAGCCAGAGCTGCCCTGTGCTCCTGGGGTGCACGGAGATGGCAGGGACGCTTTGCTTTGTGCCACTGCAGGAAGGTGTTGGGGCTCCTCTCGCTCTGAGCTGCAAGAAAGCACCACAACGGGGAGTCAAAGCCGTGGAGGGCTCAGGAAAGCTGGGGGTAGTGGTGCTGTGGCCTTACCAGGTGAGCGAACTCAGACCGTAAATGTCTTCCACCGGAGTCAGGAGGGGCTTGGCTACAGGAGGCCCTGCTCGTACCTAGGGAAAGGAAAGTTTGGGAAACGAGAGTGAGGAGGGAGAGTGCAAAGAACACCAACACTTCAGGAGCTGGAATTTGTGCCAACTACTTCTAACTGTTAATACAGTTGGGAAATGACAAGCACCAACTTGAAAACACCCAAGTTGAAGCTGAAAACTGCAGACAGAACCTCCTGAAGAGCAGCTTGGAGCGAGGGCACAGTGAGCCCTGCAACCATCCATCTGTGCCCAGCAGCCTGTGCAGGGTTCTCTGCCTCCAGGAGCCCATGTGGCTAGGCAAGCTGGGTACTGGTTTCATCTGTGACACCAGCTCATGGCCATCCCCAGTGCCCTCAGAGGATGGGGAGGCTTGAGGGGGTGAGAGGTTTGGGCAGGAGTTGCAAAACCACAGCTGGACTCGAAATGTTCTCTGCTTTTTGTATCAGCCCAGTCCTGCATCTCTTCTGCTCACAGACTGTCCATAACACACACAGAAAAAAAGGAGAGTTCCAGCTCTTTTCTCACTCAGCTCTGACTTGGGGCATCCTGCAAATCCCATGGCAAAATTGAGGCAGGAGTCCCATCGCAGGATCCTCTTCCCAGTTCTTTGTCAATGCATTTACTTCACCTGCATTCAAACAGCTACACAGGAACAGCGAGGCTCATTCCAGCAGCCACAGAACAGCAAGAGCAAAGAAAAGCTTAACCAGGGGTGTTTTGGATAGTCCTGTTTATATGCAACTTCATACCAAGACCACATTATTTCTCCACATTATTTGAAAGACTTTGCCATGTTTTTTCACCAGATGTTTTACCCTCCTCTCTCCCGCAGACAGGCTGTAGTGCTGATTGCCTCACTAGCTAGTGTTACCACCAGGTAACACTTTCAGCCACACCACCTTGTGTTCCCAACCTGGACCTTCCCAACCTGGACCTTCCCAACCTGGACTAAAAGTCACGCTGTTGCTTGGAAACACTTCATGAAGACAAATTCCACTGGCACATCCCCATGGAAATCAGCCACTGCTGTGGAAAGCTGGTGTTTTTCTATTCACTCATGACATTAAGCAATTATGAAAGTAAATGGAAAATATCAAACGGTTTGGGGACCAAAGAAAAATGTTGGTGTTGTTTGTGATAAGCATTGCACACTCAGAGCTGGATTCTCATGGGTCAGCTTCAAAAGAGACTCAGTTTGGGCATCAAGGGGAGCAGAAAACAGGGGGATTGACCCCAGGTCTGCAGCAGGAATGGAGATTAGAGCTGGCTGCAAAAGCCAGGGTTTGTTTGTCCTGGGACTCTTACCTGGGAATCAGCAGAATCTTTCTGGGCATCGAGTGCTTTGATCTGCCTTCTGAAGAGCTCAATCACCACATCGTAAACCAGCTCGTACTGCTCCTGCATTCCAGACAAACAAACAAATTCCAGACAAACAAACAAATTCCAGACAGACAAGCATGAGTGCCATGACCTGAGGTCCCTGTAAATGGTCAGCTCTGACCAAAGGAAGCATCACCCCTGAGAGAAGCTGCCACTTTCCTGTCTGTTGGCGGGGTGTGAATAATTCTCAGAAGAGGCAGAAGCCACAACCCTCACAGGGCTCACACTGAAGCATTTTAGGGGGGTTTTTGGGTGCACAAACAATGCTGTTCTGCATCGAGCTTCCCCTTCAGACTGGCTCAGCTGAGAAAAGTCCCCACTTTACTTCCCTGGACAGTGCCTTGTCTCACAGTGTAAGTGTTCCACAAGTTACAAATTAATTTGGCTCAGCTGCCAAATTAATTTCCGCAAAATCACTGCTCCCTTCAGAAAAGGGGCTTTGCAGAACATCTTCGCACCCCAACTGCCACCAGCACAACCCCTCGGGGTTTGCCTGCTGTGAACCCTCCTGGGGGAAAAGGTGAGGTCCCAGGATGGGGGCCAGAGCAGTGGGGGAGGTTTCCCAAACACACCTTGGTCTGCACAATGCAGGGCCTTTGCGTGCGCATCTCCTGGATCAGGCCGAAGACGCTGAAGTTCACCGGAACAATCTTGAGAGAGAGGCAGAAGATGAAACGGTTTTAAATTGAAAGAGGAGAAATTTAGATTAAATTTTTGGGAAGACCCCTGTGAGAGTGGGGAGGTCCTGGCACGGGTTGCCCAGAGAAGCTGTGGCTGCCCCATCCCTGGAAGTGTCCAAGGCCAGCTTGGACAGGGCTTGGAGCAACCTGGGCTGGTGGAAGGGGGGGGGACGAGATGGGCTTTAAGGTCCCTTTCAACCCAATTATTTTCATGATTTCTGTGATTTCTCTGACAATAATTACAGACAGGTCTAATTACAAGCAGATTCCAAGCCATGACACAGTTTAGAGCAGTGTCTGAAACCCAGGCCTCCAACTGCAAGAATTTTTTAACAGAGGACCTGCTTAAAGAGCTATTTTTCATTACAAGCCTTCTCCCTCCTGTCTCACACTCCACAGAAAATCCCCTTTTGTAACAGCCCTGTGGAAAATGAGAAGGACACAAAACCCACGTGGATGGGTTTAGGGAACTGTAGAAGAGAACACAACAGTCCCAACAACCTGCCCTGGGGACAGGGATTGCTGCCCCTACATCCAAACTGGAGAGTCAGAGTGAAACAAGGTGTTAGTTTGGAAACACTGGGTATCTGATGGGTAAGCGCAGAGAGACAAATACAGACACTGAAGTTGTATTGAAGGGTGAAGGTCAGAGCAGAGGCTGGGAGGTGAAGGTCTGGCCAGAGGGAGGAATGGAGGGGGGATTCTGCCCTGTTGGTGTGATTCTGTCCCATGGGGATGGGGCAGGAGCAAGGGCAGAGCCTGAGGAGGAGAAGCAGCACAGACTGGGAATGGAGTGTCAGTTTGGCCACCCCTGCCCTCCACTCAGGCTGCAGAGAGCTTGTGTTCATGGCTGTCACCTGAAATATGCAGTCAGAGGGGGTGAAAGGGACAGGGAAGGTGGGGGAGAGCCAGGGGGGTGCAGGTGCCATCCGAAGGTGCCCAGGGCTGGCACTCACCCCGTCCTTCAGCAGCTTCTGGGTGTAGTCGATGGCGCAGATGACGCCCGTCCTGCCACAGCCAGCACTGCAACGACAGCCACAGCACATCACACCCTGTGCCCTCTGACAAGGGCACTTGGAGAAGTCCCACAGCCACGTGTGACCCTCCTGCCCCACACAGCAGAAGGTGCAGACCTGCACGACAGCCCTGCTGAGCTTCACCCCACGTAGGGCCCCGCCTGCCCCCGGCTTTGCTGCAGGCTGGGAGGCACAGCTGGTCCCCTGAAAACAGTTCTCAGTCCCCCTGTGGTGACCAGCCACACATGGACGTGCCCAGAGTTGGTGGACTAGACCTTCTCACTCTCCACAACCACAGGGAGGTTGTAGCCAGGTGGGAGTCAGTCTCTTCTCCAAGGAACAAGTGACAGGACAAGAGCAAACAGCCTCAGGTTGTGCCAGGGGAGGATTAGGTTGGGTGTTAGGAAAACTTTTTTCATCAAGAGGGTTGTCCAGCCCTGGCACAGCTTCCCAGGGCAGTGCTGAACTCCCATCCCTGCAGGGATTTAGAAGATGTGTAGATGGTTTAGTGGTGGCCTTGCCAGTGTTGGGCTAATGGTTGGGCTCAAACATTTTAAAGGCCTTTTCCAAGCTAAACAATGCCGTGATTCCATGATTCTATTGCTGGCCTGCTGCCACCTGTCTCCTTCCCTGTCACCTGTCCTCAGAGCCTTAGGGCTTCCCACAGGAGGAGCTGGGCTGAGGGCTTGGCCAGCTGCCACCCCCTGTGGCCTCTCGGGAAGAAGGATCAGGGGGGTCCAGGGGGCCAGCAGCCCTCCCCCCGTGGTAGCCACCTCACCCACCTGCAGTGGATGCAGACAGGGACAGCGTCATCCGGCTGGTAGCAGCGAATCTCCCTGATGAGCTCCAGGATGGGGTCGATGGAGGAGGGGATGTGGTGGTCTGGCCAGTTTCTGTAGTGGAACTGGTGGATGGTGCGGGTCACCTGCAAGAGGAGAGAGCTGGCAGGGGCTGGACCAGCTGGGGTTTGAGTTAACTATTTTTTTTTACTTTCTTTGTCCCCTCAGCTTCTGTCAAACCTAAATCAGCATAAAATTTTCTGCACAAAATGTACCGTAGTTGAAATATATTATTTATACAATAAAGCCATCCAAGATGCACTTCTTGCCTTGACCTTTCCTACTTACCCCATTGAAGGTCACCTTCAGAGTCCTAATCACGTACTCATCCCTCTTCCCCTCAGCTTCCTGCAGAACAACAAGTCAGAGTCACATTCCCAGTGGGTGCCACGGGGTTCTGGTGCAGGTGATGGGACAGGACACGGTGCTGTGGGGCTGCACTCACACAGGTGATGGAGAAGGGGCCACAGTGCAGGGGGGAGCCGTCCATCTCTGCCCAGTAACGCTCACACTTCTTCTGTTGGGAGAAGAGGATGTGTTTGGTTATTTCCCCACTGGCCCAGCCACGCTCCTGTCTCACTTTTCGGGAGAAAATTCACACTGCCGGTCAGCTCCAGCCTCCCCTTCCCTGGAGCCACCACTGCTGGTTTTGCCTTTCCAGAGAGGCTCTTTATGCCTCTGGAAACAGCTTAAGAATTTCACAGAATCACAGGATGGTTTGGGTGGGAAAGGAGCTTAAAGATCATCTTATTCCAACCCACCTTCCACTAGACCAGGTGGAGACTCAGAAAACAGCTCATATCAAACAGAAACTCGCTGTCACTAATGGGATTTATTGCAAAGCTGCCCCTCTCCCCCTGCCCTGGCACTGCCACAGCAGAGGCCACCTCTGACAGGCCACTCACCTTCCCCATTTCAAACTCCATGCAAGCCATGACCACCACCTGCAGAAAGAAGGTTCATCAGAGAAGTCTGAACACAAGTCCCTTATCCAGGCAGTGAAGTCAAACCCATCCCTTGCAGGTCCTTGTCAGAGATGAGGAGGTTCTGTGGGCTGATTCCCCCCGAGCCACAACTGCAAAACAGGGTCCCTCACCCACAGCCCGGGCACAGGGACCTTCCCACCCAGAGCACAAAGGCAGACACAGCCACCAGCACACTCCTGGCAGGGGAGGCTGATGGGAGGGATCTGGGGCACACACAGCATCTGAACTAAAACTCTGGCACTCCCTCTGCCTCACAAAGGACTTCTGCCTGTGTGGACAAAAAAAAAAAATATCCCCCCAAACATATAAACTTTATATTTAAATATAAATCTGCACCTTACCAGGACTTCATACTCCCAAATCATCCTCCAGAAGTCAATGACAGTAGTGGGGAGAGGACCCTGGGTTGCAATGTATGCTCTTGGCCCATAGACACCCTAGAACATTCAAACCAGACATGGAGACATCTGTGCACAGTTCACCAGCAGAAATAAAGTCATTCCTCCCTCTCAGTCTAATCTTATTCAATGGGCCCAGTAGGGATTCAGAAGGACTTTCAAACAGTTGAATTTTAGGCATTAAATCAAGCAGTGGTGGGCAAACCTCCCAAAGGAAGGGCCAGGCCAGGGAGCTGGGTTTGGGCTGCTCCCAGAGCCCCCCACCAGCTCTTGCAGTGCATCTGAGAGCTTGGAGGTGATTCATTCTCTGACGTCAAAGAATGCCAAAGAATGAACCGTGAAGATGTGTTGGGAAGGGCTGGGAAGGTCTGTTCTTCTCCAGACAGGTTGCAGAGATCCCTGGGTCACTGCCGTGGAGAATGAAAGACATCTATCTATCTATCTATCTATCTATCTATCTATCTATCTATCTATCTATCTATCTATCTATCTATCTCTCTATCTCTCTATCTATCCATCCATCCATCCATCCATCCATCTATCCATCTATCCTTCAATCAGAGGAGGGTCCCAAAGGCGCAGGAGAGTCCCCAAACTCGTGGAGCTCCTGCTGGAGAGCCAGCCCAGGCTGCCCTGCCCTGTTGCTGGTCCCTGCAGCGGGTCCCAGCCGTGCTGCAGTGCAAGGCTTCCTGCCCCTGCTCTGCTTTCAGCCAAGGCCACTCTGGCCACAGGCAGCTTTGCACCACTATCACCCACCGAGGCAGCGGCGCCGACGAGGAAGTCGGGGCTGTGAACCACAAACTGTTCCCCCAGTGCAAGCTCACGTCCCCTGCCCTGTGGCCTGGTGGCTCCCTGCTGCACGGGGGGGGTTTTGGAGGGCTCACATCGAGGAGCCCCCGACCCACTCCTCCTGCCACAGCTCAGAGAGGTGGCCACACAGACACCTTTGTGGGGCAAAACGCAGCGGGAGAGGCGATACCTTGATGAAGTTGGCATTGATGTAGTGGGAGTCTGTGTCGGAGGTGATCAGGGACAGCTCCACTCTGCTGTGGTCGACTGCAGGCACAAAAGCAGAAGCAGCAGCAGTCAGGGTTTGTGTGTCACACTGAGATCCTCGGGGTGCAGCACGAGGGGCTTTGGAGGGGCACTGACACCAGAGAGCTCATCCCAGGGCTGGTGAGTGGCTGTGCAAGCAGCTGGTGTCCCCTCCCACGCCCACCCACAGCCCTGCCCAGAGCTGCCCACACACACAGGGGGTGGACAAGCTCCTTTTGGGGTGGGAGTGAGGGCTTAGGGGAGAGCTGCCAGTGTTGCCACAACCCCGGTGCAACGCTGACCCCTCTGACTGTGCAGCAAGCCGAGCCTAAAATCACCCAGCACTCCACCTGACAGGCTCAAACCAGGTCTGTGGGGTTTGATACAATGGTTCAAAGGTTGGACTTGATGGTTCAAAGGTTGGACTTGATGATCTTGGAGGTCTTTCCCAACCTTAATGATTCTCTGATTTAATTTTTTTCCATGATAGGATGGATGAAAGGGACAGTCTGTTCTGATCCTGGAACAGCCTGTTCTTTGGAGACCACCACGTGAAGCCAGGACAAGCCACAGCAGGTTTTGCCTGTGCATCATGGAGATATCTTTGTCCTAAGCCATTTTCTAGAAAGCCTTGGAAAACCAGTGCTTGCAAATGGTAACCCAGAAAGCTTGCAAGGATAATCACTGAGGGATATATTTCCTAGAGAACAGCAGTTCTTCTGTCTCTAGAAACATCACAGGATCATAGAACATCCTGAGCTGGAAGAGACCCCCAAGAATCATCAAGTCCAGCTCCTGGCCCTGCACAGGACAACCCCAAAATCACACTTTGTGCCTGAGATCATCAATATGTGCCAAAGTCTTCCAGAGCACGGACTGCAGCAGCCATAGCCTTAAATCTAACCAGCAGGATTCAAGGCCAAGAGTCTGCAGTGAGATGCTCCCATCCCACAGCTGTGGAGGATGAGAGAACACGCTTGAGCTGGAAAAACAAAAGGCTGAATAGAAACATGTGCCATTTCCAACCTACAAGGTAAGATGTCCTTGTATCTGTTCTTCTTGACATTCTCTGGTTGCTCAGCCGCTGCTGTAGGGTAGATTTTATCCAGCTTGTACTTTGTTGTCTGCCTTTTCAGCTTCTGTGATAAAAGAACGGAACAAATGACAGCAGAGGTGTTACATCCAGCACGCTGCCGCAGAGCACGTGGGAAGGTCTCCAGGGGTCAGGTTTGCTGCCACAAAGCAAGGTCAGCACCATTAATTCTTTCCTGAGTGGCTTTTCTCAGAGCAAGAACAGAGCCAGAACCACCTGAGAGCCCCAGCACAGGCTTCTGAAGAATGGAAAGTGTGTGCTGAGGCAGTGCCCACACGTCGGCTCCTCCTGAAGCGGCACAAAGCGTCGCCCTCACAAGTGAGACACGGGGGAATTACTCACAGTATAAGAGCACCCAGATAAGAGGAGTGACACTGCTAAACCACCTTGAACAGATGATTTCAGCAGAGACAGATAAATTGGTTGATTTTTCTCACTTTGGTAAAGATGCTCCAGTCCATGGCTACAAACACTGAGGGAGCACGAGCAATCAGAGCGGAGTAGCTACATGGGCTGATGAAAGAGGGGGGAGAAGGAGTCCTGGGACAGACAAAGCTCTCATCTCTCTCATTTCCAGGATAAAGCACTCATAGACAATTGAAGCGTCTTTCCCCTGACAAATGATGGAATTTTATTTCACTGCCATCAGCTTCTAAATAACACCCACTGTTTGTTGCCATCAACTTCAGAAGCACCATCCTTGCTGTATTTTTTATTTCATAGTTTTTTGTCCAAGTCAGAGTTGCTGGTTTTTAACATTAAACTGCAGTTTTAAAACACTGAATTCAGCCATAATACCCCAGGAGTCAGATCTCACAAATCTGATGGATGAGTCAGGGAGAAGGTACTGGAGGCCCCGGACAGTCCACGTGTCCAGCCTCTATTAATTAAGAACATGGGGTTCCCAGAGCTGAGGCCCTGAATAATCTTACTTTTCTGTCCCTGAATAATCTGATGACATAAAACCACTTGGGAAATGCCTACAATATGGGAAAGCAAGTGAGAATCACAGAATCATGGAATCACAGAGTGTCCCGACTTCGAAGGGACCCACAGGGATCATCGAGGCCAACTCCTGGCTTTGCACAGGACACCCCAAAATCCCACTCTGTGCCTGAGAGTGTTATCCAGATGGTCCTTCAGCTCTGCCAGCCTTGAGGCCCTGACCACTGCCCTGAGGAAACTGTTCCAGTGAGTAGAGGAGTAAGGATCAAACTGCACAGACAGAAAAAGGGGACTCAAACAGCCCCCCTGCCATTTACAGTAACACCACCACAACTGGCAAGTACAAATGCTTGGTCACACGAGGAGAGGGCGGGAATTAGGGTGGAGAAATGGCACTGAACATTTCTATCTGGTTTGGAAACACAAGCCAACACAATCGCCTGGAAAGGCAGCTCTGCCTTGCAAAAGTGGCGGCAACTCGGGTCACGCTGGGAAGATCTCATCCCATGCAAGAGGAAATGCAGCCTTGACCACTTCTACATGCCATTTTGGTCAGAAATGAATACATTTGGCTGTTGGAGCCAGTCTGTGCACCAGGGCTCAGAGCTCGCTGCCTCACACACAAAGCACAGCCCGTCAGCGAGAGGGGAAATTCAGCAGCCTGTGACAGCGCTTTGTTCCATGGAACAACAGACTGTCACTGCAGGCTCAGATTAATCACTTCCCTCTGCCCCAGACACCTGGAAACCAAGCACTCAGCTTTTCCCAAGTGTTTGAAGTGCCAGACTTGGCTGGTACAACAAAGCAGGGCTGGATCTCGTGGGGACCCATCGGTAACCCCTGTGCCTTCCCGGAGCCCACTGCCAACAGCCAGGGCTTTACGTGGTGTTTGACCTGTCTCAGGTCTCACAGAGGTACCAGCTTTACCCTTCCCTATGTCTGTTAAAGCTGGGCAACGTTGTTGCCTCTCAGAGCAGCCCAGAGAGCCTGCCAGAGCCACCTGCCTCCAGCTGGCACACCAAGAGCCATCACCAGCCACCAGGTTTAGCTCTGAGACGGTGCATTGCCATCTGAGCCTCACCCCTGGCACCCCAACAAACGAAAACATGTCAAAGAGCTCACAAATTCATGGCACTGCACAGATCTGAACTAGATGGGCACTGGAGAATGCAGGGGTTGGTGGGAGCCATCAGCACTTTTTACAGATTTTGCTTTGAGGGAGCAAGAAACAGTTCCCAGGAGGGGCCAGGAGCACTGCTGGACATACAGCCCAGAGATCCCAGATCATAGAATGCTTTGGGTTGGAAGGGACCTTAAGAATCATTTTGTTCCACCCCCTGCCATGGGCAGGGACACCTTCCACCAGCCCAGCTTGGTCCAAGCTCCATCCAGCCTGGCCTTGGACACTTCCAGGGACTGGACATCACAGCTGCTCTGGCCAACCTGTGCTCTACCAAAAAAAAGGAAAAGCTAACTCAAGGAGCTTTGGAGACCCCTGGCAGGAACACACGTGTCACAGGTCCAACAGATTGAGATGGGGAGAAGGGGCAGAGGCTCCACATTCCTCCCTGTACCCCCGTTCTGTTCCCAGGCAAAGTGAAACTGTCTTGACAAGTGCACTCGCAAAGCAGAAAACAGGAAGCACTCGGATAATTAGTTAAAAAGCAAACAGTTCAAACGTCAAAACTATTAAATTCCTCTTCTGCCTTTACATTCCTTTTAGCCCAGTTAACTCCTGGGTGACTTTTTGTTGTAAAACCCCTAGGAAATCTTAGTGTCACCCTCAGGTCTTGTCCCCGTGGCCGAGCGGTTCCCTTCAAAACGAGCAGAAACGCCGAGCGGAGCCCCGAGGGAACTTACCAAAAACTCCTCTGCAAACTCCCCTCGGTTGAGCTTCTTGCCTTGGGCCCTCTCCAGGTTCTGCAGCAGGATCTCCCTTTGGTCCATGGTGCCGGGGACGGAGCGTGCCTGGCCTGGCCCTGCCGGGAAGGGACATGTCAAGTGCGTGCGCAGCGAGAGGCACCGGCCGGGAGCTCAGCACGGGCTGTGGTTTACTGACTTCATCACCAGCCCCAGAGGAAATTAGTACGTAGCAGATACCCTGGGCAAATAACACAACAAAACACCCAGCCCCGGGGCCCTGGCGCCCTCGTTTAAAACCACACGAGCGCTCGCTGTGGGGTCTCGCAGCAGGGCGGGCACAGGGAGGGGGGTGCTCTGTGCCACGAAGGGGGCCACACCTTGGAGACCCCTCCGAGCACCCCATCATCCCAATCCCTTCAGCACCATGTCCAGCCATCCCTGCCAGGGGTCCAGGGCGAGCACAGGGGGCGGCTGAACAGCCCCCACGTCCTGGGGGGCTGCGCTTGGCTGCAAAGGCTTCAAACTTGGAATATGCTGGGACTGGAAGAGTCTCTAAACCAGCACTGAAAATCCACAGTTCCCCTTTTAGCTTAGAATCATAACCAGGGTTTGCCTTGAGGGAACAGGAGAGCAGTTTCCAGGAGGAGGCAGGAGCCCTGATGGACATACAGCACACAGATCCCATACAATGGTTTGGGTTTGGGAAGGGACCTGTTCCTTCATCAAGAACGGGGTCTGGAGGAAAGGCTGGAAGCTCCAAGTCCCTTCCCAGAGCTGGTCTACTCAGAGCAGGGTAAATGATGGATTGGCAACAAGTTATCACCTAGTTTTTTGCTGAAAACTGCATAATTCCAATGCCCCAGTGCAGCTCTCCCTAAGCACAGGGACACAGCTGTGGGAACTGTTAACAGGAGCTCTGCTACAGCTGACTTTGATCTCCCTTTGAGTTCACCCAGAGGTAGTTCACCCGTTGCAGTAATTTGGCAAACGAGGCTGAAATTAATTATTGCCCAGTTGCTCCTCAAAGCTTTGCTCCAAGAAAGTTCAGACAGAAAAGCCCTGCTGGACACAGAGGCAGGAGCTGGACTGCAGTTCTGTGGGGATCCACAGCAGTGATCAGGTGACTCCATCCCGAACATCTGAGCTGAAGGAACAAATACTCCAGAAATCAGCCAAGAAATGGTTCATATCTTTATTAGGAAAATCAGAATTAAATTCTAAACCCTGCTGTTTAACAGTGAGAGCAGCGTTCCAGTGAAGTGCACGGAAGGCATACTGTGATTTGAAGGTACAACAGTCACAAAAGGAATTCAGAATTGCAAGAAACCTTACAGAGCAGGGTTAAAGAAGCCTGTGCTCGTTACAGAGTACCACAAAGCCCTGTCAGAGTTACCTGTGCATCACCCTGGTGCCAAGGAGTCTCTTCGGCGTGGCAACAGCACAGGGAGCTGAGGGGGAACTTCAGAGAGGGCAATTCATGACCTCAGTAACACATTTCAACTTCTTTCTCTTGCAAGTTCTAGTTCTTTCTCTTGCTGGTTCTAGTGAGCAGGATGTACCCTGTCTACCCAACTCTGACACAGCAGAGCTCTGTTCACCCCTCAAAATCCTTCCATCAGACAGAAAACTGAATCACATGTGAAGGGAGCCAAGAATAAAACACTGCTCTCTTTATTGCACTGTTCCTCTTAGTGTGAGGTAAGTAGCAGAGCCCTAGTGCCTCTAAACTGTTTTTTAAATTATTTATAATTCTCAGGAAAAAAACCTCTCCAAAACACATCCCTGAACTCTGCTCAGTTCTGGTTCCACCAGAATCCTCCAGAATGACCCTGTCCCTTCCGCAGTCCAGGGGGTGGGCAGACCCTTCTCCAGCTCCAGCTGCAGCTCCCCCCACGCCACACGTGCTTCCAAGGCCCAGGAAAAGGGCTGCCAACACTCCTGCAGTTCAAAAGTACCACACCAGCACCAGGTATGGCAGAGGAAGCCAGAGAAATCAACTTTTGCTGTGCCCTGAGCAGGGACCAGTCAGGACCCCAGTCCAGCCACTGCCTCCAGGACTGTCCTCAAGGCTGAGATGAAGCTCTGCAGTGCCTCTGGCTTTGCCTCACTCTGCTTCACCGACACCTGCAGCTCCGAATCCGCCGCCTGGAGCAGGAGCTCCGTCAGGAAGAGGCAGCCTGTGTCATCCTGGGCGCTCAGGTAAGCTTTCCAGGGCTGGGCACCCGCTTTGCTCATGGCAATAGTCTGGATGTGGACAACGTGAAGGGCTGTTTGAATGGTGTCTGGAGGGACAGGCCCACTCCAGGGCAGGGAGAGGTGGCAGCTCGTGTCCAAGCTCAGCCAGGTCTTCTCAAACTGTTCTGCAGTCAGGGAAGCATCAGGAACCAGGCTCAGGCTGCCTGTGTCGGGCTGGACCTTGAGGACTTCTTTATTCCCCTCAGAAATCAGTGACTCTGAAAGGAAACCACGAACATGTGAGGTGCAGCTCACAGATCCACAAAGGCCAGGTTGGACGGGGCTTGGAGCAACCTGGGACAGTGGAAGGTGTCCCTGCCCACGGCAGAGGGTGGAACAAGATGGGCTTTAAGGTCCCTTTCCACCCAAACCATCCTGTGTTTCCATGACACTATGATCTACTGACAAGGGGAAGATGGACCCCAGAGGAAGGTGGGGCAGGTTACCTGTGTCCCTGCTCCTGGAGTCAGTGGAAGGAGGACCAGAGTAGGAGGGTTCCACAGGCTGGTGAGCAGTGGCGAGTGCCCAGCGTTCTCTGCCATAAACTGGGATGAGGGTGTTAAACTCCCAAGCCCAGGCATTCACAGGTTGCTTGGTTTGGTTCCCCAGGAGCCCCAGAGAAGGGTCAGATTTGGGGCTGCACAGGACCCGTTTCACTTCTTCCACCCCAGACTGCAGAAGGCGATAGTAGAACAAGCCTCGGTCTCGCACTGCCATGTCCATCTCCTCCTCTGGGGATCAGAGAGATGGAAATTATGGATAATTCTATCTTCCAGATTTCCCCAGAGTACTAACCCTTGATTATTAAAAACACATTTTCAGGGATACAGTGTAAACCTGTCGGCGGGCAGATAGCAACAGGACAAGGGGGAATGGTTTTTAACTGACAGAGGGCAGGGTTAGGTGGGATATTGGGAAGAAATTCTTTACTCAGGGGGTGGGGAGGCCCTGGCACAGGTTGCCCAGAGAAGCTGTAGCTGCCCCATCCTTGGAAGTGTCCAAGGCCAGGTTGGACAGGGTTTGGAGCACCCTGGGCTGGGGGAAGGTATCCCTGCCCATGGCAGAGGGTGGGACTGGATGAGCTTTAAGGTCCCCTCTAACCCAAACCATTCTGGGATTTTATGCAGCCTAAGGCATAAAGCCACCTTACCCTGCTGTCCTGGATGGTCTCCTCAGAGCCAGGATGCTGACACAGCATCCCTGCACTGGGGACAGGTCCCAAAAACCCTGTCCCACAGCCTGAGTGGAACAGAAGGCAGGGAACCCACCTATGCAGTAGTAGAGCAGCCTGCCCAGCATGTCCTGGCACTCGGCAGGCCGGGACAGGAACAGTCGCACCAGCGCTGTCAGGAGCTCCATCTTCACTGCTGGGAACGTCTCCGACTTCACATTCTCCACAAAGTCCTCCAAAACATAGGGAGCATTGGGGACCTTCTCCCCGTGCGTGCCCAGGAGCCAGATCAGTGCTTGCTTGCCCTGAGGGAACCACAGAAAACAAATAGTGCTGTGAGCCAGGAAGGTGGTGCTGGCATGAAACAAAGAGACTGAGAGAGCATGGCTGAAGAGTTCTGATTTTTACCAAACAGTTACTGTTCACTCATCCTCAGGCATCAGCACCTCACCTCGCTGTCCTGGATGGTGTCCTCACAGCCAGGCAGTGCCTGGCACACGGCATCCGTGCACTGGGGGCACAGCCAAACCAGGTCCCGGAAAGCCCGGACCACCGCTGCAAGGAAAGCGAGTTATCAGCACCCCCAAGAGTCACAAAAACCACCAGAGGGAAAAAAAAAAAAAAATTCAATCCAACCCTCCCAACTGAAGAGATTCTGCAAATCTTAGCCAGCAAGGTCAGTGCCCTGCTTGTGACTGATTTGAGACACCCTCCTTCCAAGTCCCATGACACTGTGTCTCTCAGAGCAAAGCTGCGTCAAGTCTAAAATAAAGCACTGAGACTTCAGATTGTTCCTCTGGCTGCTGGAAAGCAAACTCTCTTCTGGACATTGCCAGCCTTTAAAAGGACACTGACTCACAATGCTTCAGAGGCACGAGGTTGGAATGACAAATTAAAACCAACCCCAATTCAAAACGAGTCTCGTGAACTTTGGGTCACTAATTTTAAAGGTTTCTGCTGCCCAGTCAGAAACACCAGCAGCTCCTGAGATCGAATTCAACAGCTGAGGGCAAGTGTGTGGTTTTTAAACTGAGAGCAGACCAGTTAAAAGAGAACAGCAGGAGCAGCAGTTGATGCGAAGGTAGATCTGAGGGCAGCAGAAGAAAAAAAGGAGCCTGGGTACAACTGAATCAGACTATTATAGGAGGAACAGGAATCACAGAGATGTGAAAGGTCTATTAATCATCTTGGCCCTCAAATAGACACTAAAATGTCTCTGCTGAGTCACTCACTCCCTAATTCAGCAGGTGGCAGCCAGAAAGGACCAAGAACACAGCTACAACCACCTCCTCCTTCCCCACAAAGAGCAGTTCCTATGGAAGGAACACACTCAGTACCCCTAAACCCACCAGGAGAACTTCCACATGAAGGTGCCAATAAATTAAAAGCCAAATGCCTCCGAGAGCCCTGATTTTGGGATCACAAGCCCCAGCAAGGCCACTTCCTGAAGGCACAAGGCAGGTAAGCAGCCTGCAGATGGTTACCTGAAGTGATGTGCTCCTGCTGAAGGCCCAGGAGCTCTGTCAGGATCCCCACACACTGCTCTGTGTAAGTCCTGGCAATATTGCCTGCAAGGATGGCAAAAAGACATAAAAGTCAACCTTTTATCAGAGCGAAATGGGAACCAGGAGCCCAACTATTCATCACAAACCCATTTTAAAGAACCAGTCTCTCTCTTTTCCTTTCTGACTACCACTTAGGAAAGTGTGGTCAAACGAGCTTGTTCTCCACACAAGGGACACGTTCCTTTTTCTTGAGGCCGTGCCTCAGAAGATTTCTGAACTCTCCTTAAATGTAATGCATTAAGAAAAGCATTTTAGCATCCCCAGCTTTACCCTCGGGAACGCCGTAAAAAACTCACCTATTTTAAAGCTTACAAAAATAAAACCAAAGCACCCCCAATCCCCTTAACTCCGCCCCCATCACAGCTCACAGAACAAGCAGCACAGCTCAGCGATGAGGTGTTTGCCCAGGCACAGCTCAGCAGAGAACAGCCCACCTGGAAGGTGCAGGCGAGGCCCAGCTCTCACCTATGGCGAAGATGGCCCCTTGGGCGAGCTCCACCGACACGTCAGTGCAGTAACCCTTCAGCTCCTCCAGCACCTGCTGCACGTTCTCATCGTTCACCAGCTCACACAGCACCTCCATCTTCTGGCACTTGATGTAGTGGGGCTCTGAGTAGGAGCAGAAGAACTTTTTGTAGTGGCTGCTGAAGTGGCCGGGCAGGCTCGCCAGGATCTGGCGCACGTGGCACAGCGCGGTGAAGCAGAGCTCCCTGCTCTCCGAGGTGCAGGCAGACAGAAGAGGGCCCTTCACCCGCACCAGCACATCTGCCTGCACATCTGGGTACTCCCTGGCCAGCACCAGGAAGAGCTTGGTGGCTGCCATCACCACGCTGGGGCTGCTGCTCTTGAGGTAACCATCCAGCAGGTTGAGGATGTCGAAGAGCTCCTCCTCGCTGCGGGGTTTGTAGCGCAGCAGGAAGGTGAGCACCTCGCTCTGCCCCCACTGATCCAGGTCGGGCATCCTGCCAGGACAACAAACACAGCGTGCAGGAGTCAGGGAGTGCACGAGGATCTGGGCTGTGCAGAGCAGAGGCCGCAGCCTCAGAGTTTCTCATGGTCTCTGTTCCAAACCAAAGGGGTACCACACTTTTATCTCAAGGGAGTTGCCCAGTTATTAACTCAGGATCAGTCATGTGCACTCTTACTGGTGTTTAGGCCAGACAGGAACACTGACAAGAACCTTGGGCAAAGCAACAACCCTCTTTTCCCAGCTCATGCAGAATCATCTGCAGACAAGTTCATTTCTTCAAGTAATGAATAAGTTATATATTTTTCAATGGATCTGGAGAGACATACTAGAAACACACCTGTTTACAAATATATCGTGTGCACTATGACTAAAAAATTAATCACATTAACTTATAGTTCCAAGACAAACCACCAGCTGAAGCAAAGACTCCCTGGAAAAGCAGGGCAGCCCAGATTACTCTTAAGACTTTAGCCTAAAAGTGATTTAGGTTGTCTTAGGATGGGCACCTCCATCTTTGGATGCCTGACTAAAGTCCCTTCAAGTCCTCTCTACAAACGCCCTTTCTGCATAGAAAACACAAAAACAAGAATGAAGGTTCCAGCACCTCCTCAGTATCAAAGACAACAAACCTGTTGAGGAGATGATGGGCAATGGGTTTGTTGATGACAACTCCTCCCTCCTTCTTCAAGATCTCTTCCAAGGCCCTCAGACAGTTCACGACCACAATAGGATCCTGGTCACGAAGCAAACTGTAGAGCTCGTTCACCAGTGCCCCATCTGCAAAGGAGCAATGGTTCTGCTATCAAATTCTGCTGGCACGCTGCAATTTAATCACTGTCTGCAAGTATTTATCAAAACCAGAAGATATGGCTTGAACTGGGAGAAGGAGCCACCGAAACTTCCAGCTCTACAGTAACAACTGCCCTTGGCACAGCGTTTCCCTGAATATTTGTGGGAGTGAGAATGGCACCTGGCTGATCAGAGACTTCAGGGATGGTTGTGTGCTGTGGGAGAGCAGGGAGGGCAGGGAGAGCAGGCCCTGGAAGAGCAGGGAGGGAAGGGGCACTGCATCATTAACAGTCTGATACACATGGACCACAGAATCATGGAATGGTCTGGGTTGGAAAGGACCTTAAAGCTCATCTCATTCCACCCCCTGCCATGGGCAGGGACACCTTCCTCTAGCCCAGGTTGCTCCAAGCCCCATCCAACCTGGCCTTGGACACTTCTAGGGATGGAGCAGCCACAGCTTCTCTGGGCAACCTGTGCCAGGGCCTCACTTCTCTCACAATATCCCATCTAACCCTGCCCTTGTCAATGGGAAGCCATTCCGCCCTGTCCTGTCACTCCATCCCTCGACCCCAGTTCCTCTCCAGCTCTCCTGGAGCCCCTTTAGGCACCGGAATGGGCTCAAAGGTCTCCCTGGAACCTTCTCTTCTCCAGGGTGAACAACCCCAGCTCTCTCAGCCTTTAATTCCCCTCCACTTCCCCCTCTCTCTACCCTGCAGCCACAACAACCCAGAGGCAGCACAGCAAACCCAACACAGCCCTAAGGCCTGAACGTGCTCTCAGTGCATCCCCAGCCCCAGAATCACCTCCCTCAGCCCAGGAGCACAGCCCCTCAGAGCCCCTTACCCACTTCGCAGTCCCCCTGCAGCTTCACCATCTTGGCACAGCCCAGCACGGCCGCTCTGCGCACGTAGGAGGCCTTGTCCCGCAGCCCGTTCACCAGGGGCTGCTGCAGGTACTCCTGGATCCCGGGCATCCTGCGGGAGGGCAGGTCAGGGGGGGACCAGAGCCTTCCCCCTCTCTCTGACCTGCTGCCACGACAACCCAGAGGCAGCACAGCGAGCCCGGCACAGCCCTAAGGCCCGAACGTGCCCTCAGCACCTGCATGACCCCAGCCCCAGGACCACCATCCCCAGCCCATGACCACCACCCC